AATTTCTCATTCTTTCTCAATTCACAAAAAACTTGTCATAACCATGTCTTAAAATAATGCAAATGACGTATTTACACAAATAATGAGGAGATGACCATTTTTATAGAATTGCATAATTCACAACAACACAATTATGATACAACACCAACAATGATTCAACAAAACTTTCAAACCATTCTCAACACATCACACTCAAATAATTAATCACGTTGTCTTTTGTTACCCCTTTTTCATCATTAAAATTATTCAATATGGACAAGTCAACCCATCAAAACTTCACATACTCCAAAACATATACCACAAGAAAATACAGGATTTCCTAAACTTAATAAGGGTTTAGAAATCCACTTGCCTCAAATAATTGAATGATCACTTCAGAACTTGAGCCTTCCCATTTCGTTGAGCTTCTAAAAGAATGAATCTATTCAAATAAGTAATCACAATAAGCTTTCAAAACTAATAACAACCATATTACTACTATTCTAGCCTAGGCACAAAAACTTACACAAACCTAAAATCAAATTCATAAATTTTGATGTGAATTATCATGATAACCCTCATATTTCTGAACTTTAAGTGTAGAGTTAAGTTTTCATTATCCTTAACCATAAATCTAATGGTATTAATATAATATGATACATCCAAAAACAACTCAAATCGGCAATAAACTATACCAATTATTGCATCGACAAACTATTGCCACCAAAACCAATTCATTTATACATTATCCCAGTGATTGCCTCAATCATTAGCCACAATTATTCATAATCTTAATTCCCTAAGTAACATAAACATTAGTGGAGATATATCAAATTATACATTAAAGCCCTTCCAACTTCTCACCCTTATATTCCAACCAATGTTTGGCTCATAATGACCAATCATTGGACCACCATTATGCATTCACATTAGCACACCCTATTAGCCTTTAATTTCAAGAAATTCACGAAAATCTTTAACCAACATACAACAACTAACTTTAATTTTTCACTTGCTATTTTTAAACAAAACATTATTCTTATACAGAGTAGTCAACATATGCTTGTACAAAAGAAATTGAAGGTCGGTGAGAATTTTCTTATCTGCACCCTTCGTTCCATTTTGCTCTCATATTCACGTCGTAGGTTTGGTTATTACCTTCCTCTGATTTATTTTTAATAACATTAGTTATGTACAAAAGTGTTCTAATAACTTATTTTAACATATATGAACCCAATAATATATAATCTTAATTAAATTTCAGATTTGGCCTATATTAATAACTTAATTAATTGTTTTAAAAGAATACTATTAATTAAATAATCTTAGTTAAATAAATAATTTAAAATTTTCAAATTAAGTTCACCAACTAATCAAAAATAACTCGGGCACCTATTGAGAGGGGTAATTTAGTAATTTAATAAAAATTTTCAAAAATGACATATCGGGTCATTACACTTCACAATCTCTTGCAATTTTATGGTCAATAAATCTTGACACACTTGATCTAATAATTTATATTGATATTTGATTCACTCTAATATTTTCACTGATAAGAGTGATGTTATATTTTGTATGCATATTAATTAAATTATTTATCATAAATAATAATAGCATGACACATAAGTGTACCAATTGCATGATGATATGATAGTTTATAACCATTTTAATGAGATCGAAATTGATCTTTATGTTATGCGATCTTACAACCATTGAGGTACTATTCAATGAAATCAATTTACAACCTTTTAAATCCTTCATGAATTTTCATATAATATTTACTTTTTTTTAGCTAGAATATGTTATTCATTGATCATGCGTATTCATGTTTCTCATATATTGTTAGATTAATAGAAACCGCATTACATCCACCTTAGGAGCATACATCTCCATACAATAATGTCAGGACTTTTGAAAAAAAAATTTATTTTTTAATACACAAATCGTACTTTATATTTTACGATTTTGTTTATTACACAATAATTCATTTGTACCCTACTAACATTATATTTTTGTATATGAACAATAAGTCCAAAATATCACTTTTCCAACTGAAATATAATTTACTAGAATTGTATTTTCTTTGGCCAACCATTTATTTGTCAACTTCCGACCGATTTAATATCAAGATCCAAGTCACCATTATAATTTTGAGCGCTAAATTATATTAAAAATATTGTCGATGGTTTATTTGATATCAGTTCTATAATGACATAACTTGCCAAGATCTCTTTATATTTCATTGTTTTTAGGTACCTGAACCTTTGCCAAGGTTTTATGAAGTGTTATGTCATGGTCCTTTTTCCAGAGAACCTGCCTCATTATTATGACCATCTTAATTATTTTCTCAACTTTTTTGTCAAGAAGTTTCATCTTTTGAGTTGATTTATCTATCACGCTTCCAGCGTGTCATGAATTATGTCCGTCAAGTACCTTTCAGTTGAATATTTATAATTGGACTATAACTTATGGTCAGTGAATATGTCTGACAGTTGACTTAAGTTATATCTTCAACGAGGATCATATCAATGATATATCATTATGAATAAACTTATTTTCCAGCTGCTTCTCATCTCTTCCTAATGTTAGAGAATCTAATATTCACGCAACTTTATTTGGAAATTCATCTTTATGCAGTGTAGTGGTGGACTAATTGAATAATATATCACACATTTAAACTTCTAGATGAAAATTATTTGGTTCCTGACCCTGAATCAATTTTTATAGGGGTACTTTCTTGGCTTGATAAAAACAAGTGTTGTTATACTTTAAATAACATATCTCATACCAAATTTCTTTTGGAGTTATGTTTTCATAATCAATGGTACCTATAATTTGAGGCATATAATTTTTTGTATAACTTACCTAAATCACATAGTGTAAAAACCTAAATAACATTATATCCCTAATTTTTTCAATTTACAAAAATCCCTTTAAAATCAGTGCTATTCGGATACATAGAAAATAATTTAGATACATTAAAACAAAATCAGTTACACTTTTGAAGGAAAGGGAATCAATTTTGAATTTGATTTCCCCAAATCAAGCTAATCAATTTGTTGTCAATCTTTCTCAAATCGTAACAATTTCAATTAATTCAAAAAAATCAAATTTTATTCTCTCAACTCTCCTCCAAATCCTCCTAGCTTCAAATAATTCAACAAATACTTCCAGATCAAAAAATTCAAAATTCATTTATTTTTCTCTATTCATCGTCTCATGTTCATTCAAATTTATCAAAAATTTGATAAGATACATAATAAATAATTGTTGAAAACTAATTTCTTTTGTGAATCTCAAATACAACATTGCAATAGATCGATAAGATGAGAAAAACTTGAATATCCGATATATAGTAGAAGAAAATCACAAGAAGATGTTGATTCTTCTGCTTGGCATACTCTTCATCTCATCTTTATCGTGGAACCATAGTAAAAGGTGGTCAAAGAAGTTACTGACCACTTCAGTTTGTATTTCAAAATACATTAGTTGATGTATTCTAAATTGTTCTTTTCATTCTTTCTTAAAAAATCTCAATTTATTAAATCATACTTGTCGATAAATTGTATTGATACAACATGAACATGCCCATCAACTCAGCGATTGCATTTGAATTAAAGATCGATGAGTTGAGGGAAAAACTGGCGATCTAATATATCGTTGAGGTAAAGAAATAAGAGTTTGAATTTTCATTGTTTCATTTATGGATTGATACAAGTAAATGAAAGGCTAAAGAGATGCATAACTTTGATGAATTATTCACACCTTTTATAATGTTGTGTAATCATTTTCTTAATTTTGTTTCTGAGATGGATAGTGTCACGCCCCGAACTACCCTCGAGAAGCGGATACGGAACTTAGAACCACAAGTGATCCCAAGCTAATCCTGCTGGTATGATCATGAGCATACTAAAGATAATAAACTGATCCGGAAGCTAAATCATAATTAAATCTTAAAAGATGGGGAATACCCATATTCTATAACTGAGATATTTGAAAACAATGAGTTTAATACAACGGAAATATTAACTCAATACTAAGCTGAATCTACTATGTCTGAAATAAGCCTCTAAACTGGACTAGAAGTACTGGGACAAGTCATTTGATGTTCTTCATGTCCCAAGTCATTCCTGAGTGTTTGCGTTATATAAGTTAAATTAATTTTTAATTTTTTAATGTTTGAGAATATTTCTTTAACATGAGTCTAGAGTCTAATATTTTTACCTACTTATACTTTCATAATGCAACAATATACATACACATTTCTCAACAAGTAGTAAATTTTTCAAAAAGGGTCAACATTATTATTTCGTTTTTGTTTCAAATAAATTTTCCTGCTTCTATAAATTTTGTTAGAGTAACAAAGTAACAATAACGAAAAGTGGTGAATGTTTGACCTCAGTCAAGTAGATTGTCCCTTAAAAAGTTATTTATGTTGTTATGGTGTACATTTTTTAACGGTCTTAACTTATTTATAAAAAATATTTATTATAAAAAATTTCACATAATTATTTTTCACAAGGAGTTATCTCATCATAATATTATAAGATTCTATATTTTTCATGTACAAAAAATAGAAAAACTGATGTTTAATTGCTACATTAGAACATCACTCAATTTTAACAAGAGAATTTATAATCAAACATTTATTATGATTAAATATGTAAAGATCAAAATAATTAGATATTAAGCTATTTTTAATCACTAAAAATATATTTATAATTTTTGAGATATATGATAATGTCAAATCATTTATTTATGTTGAAATGTTCTACAAACCTACTAAAATTGACTTCTTTTTTGTTCTTATGTTAGTGGATTATTGTAAAGGTTGTTCAAAAGCTTAGAAAGATTATTTATGCTTGCGCGAAGCGTCGTTAAATTACGTAGTTTGGGATAAGGCACAATTACTTCTCTAGACTATAACAGAATTCTTAGAGACACACATTAACTTATTTGTTCTAATATAAGCCTAAAACGTGGTTGCTACGCGTACAATCGCTAATGTATTAGGTGTCAAATTAAAAGACAATAACAAGTTCCAATGTCATTGTATCTCAAATAAAACAAAGCATAAGGTAAGAAACAAGAGAGTCCGCTAGGATGACAAGCAACAACCTCTCAATGTATCCTCAAAATGCCTCAGATGTAACAAGAATAAGAGCAATTACACGAATTCGGGATAGAAACCTATACAAGTGTAGAATCAATGAGTAAATACCAAGTCCAACATGTTACTTTCTGTTAAGAGGCCCCATACCTTATTTGCGTTTTGTGTTTAAATCTTCAGCCTCCCATTCCATGGAGCAAGTTTCTGAGTTGGGACAATGGCAAAAGATAGAAGTAAAAGCACGTGGAATGAGCTGGGATGTCAAGAGCATCGATGTTGTTGTTGCTGGCTTAGGATGGTTCTCCCGAGGTTTGAAAGACATATGATGGCATTCAGATCACATTACGGGAACCATTGGTACTTGATCGTGCAACCTCGATTGAAAGACTTGGATTTTGGCTACCAAAGGCTATATTAGAAGCCATCGCTAACTCATCAAAGCTTGAAGGTCAAGAAGCAAGGGAAAATATTCCATTAGAGGGGACAATGCAACTTTCACAAGTATTCAACTAAAAGAGGCACCTGAGTCAATTTTCTTGTGAACATTTCTAGTGTACAAGGTCATGTACGACTACTTAAAATGGGCAGGTTGAATTAAATTTGAGCAGATTGAAACTAGATTACTGGATTGTATTGTTTTTCGCTATTTACTTACTATCACACATGAGTAATTTGAATTAGGAACTAACGAAAATTAAGTTGCGGGATATAACAAAATTACTAGATATTTAATGCCACTAACAAACGAGATACTTATGGTATTAAAATATCAATAACAATGCAGGAAAATGTGGATGACCAAGATTACATTTTTGTTGGCTTTCAGGATGTTGTACAAACATTCCTAGCTCAACTTCTCAAAGAAGAGCCTCGTCGAAGTTTCCTCTTCATTTATTCAATGATGGGTTTAGGCAAGACCACTCTTGCGAGAAACCTCTTAAAAATTCCTAATATAGTCTCTAGCTACCCTACACACGCTTGGATATGTATTTCTCAAGATTACAACACCATGGATCTTCTTAGGACTATCATCAAATCCATCCAAGGTTGCACCAAGGAAACTCTATATTTGTTGGAAAGGATGACAGAAAGGGATCTAGAAATTCACCTTCGTGATTTATTGAAAGAACGCGAAAACCTTATGGTGGTTGATGATGTATGGCAGAGAGAAGCATGAGAGAGTTTGAAAAGAGCACTCCCGGATGGAAAGAATTGCAGCAGAGTCATTATCACCTCGCGCAAAGAGGATGTCGTTGAAAGGGCAGAGGATAGAGGTTTTGTTCATAAACTTTGTTTCCTAATCCAAGAAGAAAGTTGGGATCTCTTTTGTAGGAAGCTACTTGATGTTCGAGCAATGGTTCTAGAAATGAAAAGTCTAGCTAAGGATATGGTGGATAAGTGTAGAGACTTACCTCTTGTTATTGTTGTATTGAGCGGACTACTTTCGCATAAAAAGATACAAAATGGATGACAAAAGGTTAAAGATCACCTTTGGAAGAACATTAAAGAAGATAAATCTATTGAAATCTGCAACATACTATCCTTAAGCTACAATGATTTGTCAACGGCGCTCAAGCAGTGTTTTCTCTATTTTAGTATTTTCCCAGAAGATCAAGTGGTCAAGGCTGATAACATAATATGGTTGTGGATGGCGGGGGGTTTCATACCCAGAGGAGAAGAAAGAATGGAGGATGTCGCTGAAGGCTTCTTGAATGAGATGTGTTTTAATTAAGTTTTTGGAAAAATATATTATTTTATTGGTTTTTGAGACTTTTTTAGAGTCACCACTTAATGTTTAAAGAAAAATCAAGAAAACTATATTTTCAAAAGACTTAAAAAGAAAAATCGATTGAAAACTTTAAAATGGTTTGGGGATTCCTATTTATATTTTAGGAAGTCTTTAAGGGCACCTAAAATATTCACTAACTCGTGATTATCCGACAAACTAAGTTACTTGGCTAAAAATTCTCTACCTTTAATTTGAATTGAAAAATTACTTAGTCTTCGTTTGAAAGTGAAATACTAGCCTATCTTTTAAGTGAACTATTTAACTTGCGAAATTTATTTAATTTATTTTTTAAGTCTTTTAAAGTCGATCAATTTTAGGCTTGGCAGATAAAACATAATAGTGCTACTCGGGGATTTTGAAGGTTCGACCCTAAAACTAGCGACAAATATCGATAAGCAGAGAGAGAGAGTTTTTAGTTGAGTGTTGATTTTTTCGATGATACTTCCTGTAACTTCAAATGTATCAGAAAGTTTTGGGAATTTTTCTTTGGAAAATTCAGGTATTTTAAATCCTGGGTAGGTTTCAATTTCATGATTGGATGAAGTAGAAGCCGGTGTTGGTCTTCCACTAAGATATGGTCTTGTATCTTCTATTTGTCTAGAGACCACATGGAAAAGTTGGTTTGTATAGTTGTTTTGTTCAATAACTCTATCAATATCTGCAGCAACGAGTAATGCGCCTGTCTTATCACTCTTCTCTTTGAAGGGAGAGGCTTTTATCACTGTACCTGCAATAGGAATATTGATTCCTTCAAGAGGAGGAGTGGTAGATTCTACTACTTTGTTAGAA